TTTTTATTTAGACCAAGTTTCATGCTGCCTGTGTGTTATTACTGAAAAAAAAAGCAAAATGGAATAGTAGGCAAATAAAATTCTACGTGAGTTAGAGGGAAGAGGTTCCCACATATTCCCTTTTTCCTACCCCAACCTCCAGACTCACAGAAACATGTCATGGCAAATTTCCATAGGCTCCCAGCAAAGCAAGAGTCTGGGAGGAGCATGAACCTGTTCATCTACATTTTAACAATAGATGTTGGTATTCCGTTTGGTTCCACATATTTACAACACAATAATTTATTTTCAAAAGGAGCCAACGACCCAGCTGGACAGACAGCTCTGCAAATTCTAAAAATTCCTGACTTTGAATATTAATTCACTTAAACTTTAGAAATATTGTTAAATGAAGAGGAAATTTATGTTATTCAAGTTTGCAATGACATATATGCAGCAGAATTTAGCTATAATAACAAGACTGGAATCTATAATTAAGGCTTTGTTTTGTAAATAACATTAATTTCATTTGCATTTAAAGCACTACTGATTATACACTGGCAGTGCTATACCACAGCAAATGCTCTTACTCATGTCCTTTTTATTCCATTTGTAAAGTGAACATGTTTTAAGAAATGTTTCTGAAGGAGGAATTTTTTCCCCACAAAGATTCCTCTGTCCAGTTGGTGACTGCAATCCAGTGGTGATATGATTAGTTACCCAATCATAAAACATCTGGTGACCACCACATGTAATATTTGCATAGCACATATTTGGGGTGAAAAATTCCATCTGAATGAAAGACAATGAGATATTAAATGATAATGTTAAAATTAAAATATTACTTTTTTTGCTATAAGCGTAATGTTTGCTTTCAAAAAGAGAAGCTGCCAGTTCATGTGTTATTTCTCACTCTTTATTTTTGTTTTAAAATAATTTCTTTTGTCTGTCATTGTAGTCTGCAAACAAAGAAATATCCCCAGACTGATATACACCAGCACAGTGAACGTGGTGTTTGGAGGGAATCCTATTGAAGAAGGAGATGAAGAAACTGTGCCGTATTTTCCACTGGAAAAGGTCTGTTGTTCATGTGATGGTGTGGATTTACTGTACTTGAAAGGGCAGGTTGTGTGAGGCTGCTCTGAGGGAAGAAACTGTTTTACTGTAGGTCACATCAAATTCCATTAAATTATTTTTCATTCATGTAAATTGACCCATGATCAATGAAGAAATAATCAAATCATAATGGCTTTTGGAATTTTCCATGGTATATTTTCCAATATAAAATCTGGCAATACAGAATTCAACAGATAACTAGTCTTGTGTGGACAGGTAATCACTAAACCAGCATGTGCCTACTGTGTCCAGAGTCCTATTGTTTAAATGCACTTGGGTGCAATTTTTAAAGTTCACACTATTTGGGAGAGAATGATTTATAACTTCCCAAATAACTTCAATAAGAAATGGAACTGTTTTTTGGAAAGTCTGAATTTTTAATTTCATATTTAACTTACTGTTTTTATAAAACTTTTTTCAATTCAAAAAGGATAATTTGAAAAAATATCTGTCCCACCAGAACATTTGGCTTAGGAGTAATTTTTTCAGTACATCCAGCACAAAAAGTGAGTGAAGTAAATACTGGTGAACTTAAATTCACTCTGAAACTAAATTTGTGCCTCTAAAATATAAGTCTGATAATTTTTTTGTCATAAACAAAGTATATATTTGCTAAATCTTGTTGTTATTTCTAATCGTGTTTTGCTCAGCTGATATCTAGGAGCTGGCTAGATTGAAATGTTATCAGCCAAAACCAGTAAGTTTGCCTCTACAGATGCAATAATGTGATTTAAATGATTGTATTCTGCCTTTCTTTATAGCAATTTAATCATTATTCTAGAACCAAGGCAATTGCAGACCAAATGGTTCTTGCTGCTAATGGAACTTTACTCAAAGGTACGTATAAAGCATTTGGGGTCTTCCTATCATTAGTAGTGCTAATGGGTTTTGTTTTCTCATTTATCAATGAGGATTTTAACTGAAGTGAGGATTTATTTTGTTGCAGGTATCTGGCAGGAATAACAGCAGTTTCTTTAACAGATAGGCAATATCAGGTGACTTCCAAAGTTGCACCTGCAGGAATAGTTGTGGCTAAAAATCTATCTGTACATGGCAGGGGAAATTTTTAGATACATATTTTGCTATTCCTACTGATTTCTCTTAACTGCAGAGCATAAATTAGGTGGGGATTCAATTTTAGAATCTTTGATTAACTCCTGAGCAAATGCCTACCCCCTGTTACGCTAGCCAGATACAAGGTGTCATTGTGCCTGTTCTCAGGGGTCAGAGGGGTCTGCTGAGTGATTCACTGGTCAAACTTATTCATTTTGATTTAAAATATTCAAACTCATCTGAAAGCCTCTGTTTGGGGGACCTCTTCTATTCCTTTGTGGTGCCCCTGAGCTGCAAGCAAGCCAGGTGTCTGGATGTAGCAAATGGAATGATCTGCTCCCAGTGTTGCATGTGTCTGCAGGGATGGACAAATATAAGTTGTAAAGTTATCTCTGTAATAAACAGCAAAAGCCAAACAACCAGGAGGAAAGCTTGATTTGCCCTGTTCCTAATCAAACTCTTCTGTGGGATTTGGCTTTTCAGGCTCCCAAGCTCAGGCCTTTCACAGCTACTGAATTCAATTTTATAGGGAAATGAAATCAAGTTCCCAGGAAGCCGAATCACACAGAATGGTCAGACTGAGCCTTTATTTTGATAGTGTAAGATTCAGACAATATATGTCAGCCATGTGTTGATATCCAAGCTGTCTGAAGGTCCCCTGTTGTTCTCTCTCCCAGGAGGGGACAAGCTCCACACGTGTGTGCTTCGCCCCCCGGGCATCTACGGACCCGAAGAGCAGCGGCACCTGCCACGAGTAGCCGTATGTGTTTTGTAGTCAGCTCTGGAGGACACCACAAGTAGTTGTAAGGGCATAACACAAGTGGAAGTACCTTGATTGCAGTTCTTAACCGTTGCTCCAGGAAGGCTGTTTGTGAAAGCTGGGTGACAGGGGATGTGACACAGAGTAACAAACAGCACAAAATGAGCACTGCAGACACGGCCAGGATCACCTTGCAGTGAAAATTAAAACATGCAAGGCTGAAATGCCACGGTAGAAGAAGTAGGTTTTCATCCCTGATCGTTTAATGGAAATGTTGACTTCTAAATATGCACTTTAATTTCTGCTAAACACTCTAATGTCACAATATCTGGCCACTACCTATCAGTGCAACAGTCTTTGATTCATGAAACCACCAACTAGATTTTTTTTCCTTGTGACACATTTCTTGTGCTGTAATTGTACACAAATACAGCAAACTCTGAGTATTTGGGCTGAGATAAAATGAATGTTGTACTGCATAATAAAGGAATAACATAGTTATCACATGTTTTCTGTTTCTACAGATAAACATCCAGCGGAGACTTTTTAACTTCAAGTTTGGGAATCATGAAGTTCAGATGAACTGGGTTCACATAGGAAATCTAGTACAAGCTCACTTACTGGCTGCTGAGGCTCTCACCTCTGAGAAGGGTTATGTAGCTGTAAGTAAACAATATAATAACTGTGTCCCAGTAGCTTTAGCTCTCAAATAGGTTTAATTTTTGATATTTTGAGATCAAAGGGTCTCCAAAAAGTCATATGCTAAATTCTCAAAAATGGTGTGTGGCTCCAGAAACACGTGGACAGTGCAAATGCAAACACATTTGGCTCATGTTTTTTTCTGGTTTGAAAATATATAATTTCCTGGTTTATTGGAGGAAACAGTATTTTTAACTACCATAATATATTCACCATCATACATGGGGTTACCCAAAACTGTGTTTGAGAGCACAGTGAAGTGCAGTGCAGGCAGTTTGCTGAGCTGCTCTGTGTACATTCACTGTGTTCGTGCCGGTGTGCTACTCACAAAACCAAGACATGGGTAGGTATGAGAGAGAAAGGAATGCCATCCTATGTATAGTGTTTTTCTAACTGTTTTTCTCTGCTTCTTTAACAGAGTGGTCAGGCATATTACATCCACGATGGTGAAAATGTGATTTTCTCTGAGTGGATCGTGCCCTTGGTACGTGTTCAGCTCAGAGGCACCTCACAGGCTCTGGCCCTACTGCTGGCTAAAAGCCATACAAACTAAATGAAGTGCAGGGCACATTAACTACTGAATGACTCAACATCAAACTCAGTCCTGTTCTCCCTGCATGTCCCGAAGTTCCACTGGCTTTCAGGGGAGTTTTGGCTATGCATAACTGTGGAATTTGGCCTTACTGTTTTGAGATAATTTAGCCAAGAGGTACAGAACCTGCTGCAGAGCAGCAGCATTTCTGTGGAGCAAACTCACAGTGCAGGGCGAGCTCTGCCACGGGCATCTGGCAGGTTTCTCAGAGTCAGTGCTGATCTCTGTCCTGCCATCAACTGCAGCACAGAAGGGAAGCCCATTCAGAATCTTATCTTAGAAGCTAAAAGGAGGCAACATTATATTTTCATAAACACCAAGCTGGGATTTCAGGAGCATGCCAAAGTTTTAATCCTGCAACGCCAACACAGAGAATTCCTCTGGGAAAATTACTGCAGTAGAACAATGGGCCTGTATTTAACTGTAGGAAAGGATTCCAGCCTGGGTCACTTGCCCCTTGGAAAAGCCTTGTTCCCCCTTTACTATCCAATTGCATTTGAAGGGTGGAAGGTGGGCACCAAAGAATGAGTAGTGGATTTCAATTGCATTTCTTACTACCAGTATTGATAGGAAGACTAGCTGGAAAAAATTTTAGATACATGTTTTATCAACATTCCTTTTTTTTTTCCTTCCATTTTCATGCTTCATAACACGCTCAATTTGGTACAAGCTCTCTCTTATTCTTTCCTTTTATACCCTTTCTAGTTTGAAAAATTAGGCTACAGGAAACCCTGGATACATATTCCTGTTCTCCTGGTTCATATAGCAGGTAAAAGAAATAAAATACATTCTTAATTACTGTGGGCTGTATTTTTTTTTTATTCCTAGAAAGCTCCATAGTGGTTTTATAAAATGATGGGACTCAAACTGTAGGAATTACGTAACTTAATATTATTCCAATAAATAATAATCTCTTGTGCCATTTGGCACTAATTACTAGATAAATTTTAAAGGCTATTCATAAACCGAGTCCATCATGTACTTTATAAGTTAAACCCTGCCTTCTACCACCCTAATTGCATCCTCTGATATCAGTAGGAATTACAGGATGTGCAATGTCAGCATTGTCTCAGTTTATTGTTATCCAGCCATCTGTCTCATTAAGTAACTTTGTGTTTCACAGCCACTGTGATGGAATATCTGCACCTGATACTAAAGCCAGTTTTTAGCTTTACACCTTTCTTGACAAGGAATGAGGTAAATATATATAAAAAGAAAGAATGTTTATGTATTTCTGACCAAAACTCTCATGAAGTCTGTGATATGCCCTTTGGATGCAGACAGGATTCTCTGCAGTAGAGTTCTGCTTGCTGTTCTGTTTCCACTGTAATATCATTGTCAATGTATTTTCATCCAAGTTGTAGAAAATCTGATATTAAAGTCACTTCCAAAACTGTCCTTTTGGGTTTCAGGTGTGGAACGTTACTGTAACTCACACGTTCCGAATAGACAAGGCACGAAATCAACTTGGTTACAAACCAAAGAAATTCTCATTTGCTGATTCTGTGGATCATTATCTCAAAACAAGACCTACTTGCCAAGAAGATCACACATTCCTTAAAATGGTGTTTGTTTTTGGCATTATGTTAAGTTTGATCATTCTTTCTTTCTTCTGAAATCAAGTAACTCCCCACCTGTTCGAGAAAACGTTTTATTTCTGAGTATTAATGATCTGGTCACGGTACATTCCTCAGCCACCATGGACTTTGTTATTGTTATTACTATGGTGACACCTCTCTGACTTCCTTAAGAAAGAAAAAAAAACAAACAAAAAATAATCACAAAAGTGAAAACATGGGACACATCAGGAAATGTTCCCCTGGAACAACAGCGTCACAAATCAAAGGCATTCACCACTAACAGGTGCAGGAATAGTGTTAATGGATCTTCATTAATCGATTGCTTCATGCTGAGAGGGATTTTCTGAGGGTGAGAAGCTGGAAGAAGAGGAACCATTGTAGGACTGCAGTGCTGCCACAAGTCCAGCAGCTCCAGTGAAGAAAAGAGTGACTAAACAACTCCTCTGATGAAGCTGCTTCTACAGCGACTGTCTGTAAGTCTGAGGAATTATGGAGACCTGGGAAATAGGACAAAAATATGGAAAACAAATATTTATAAATAACAGGTGGTGAGAGGACTGAAAATCGTATTTATATAAAAATAATTTTATTGTTCAAAAGCTTTGTAAAAATGTAATAAATAATATTATGTGTGTTTGTAAATCAAATAATGTACATTCAAAGCAACAATAAATAATAAATGAACCAAATACTGTTTTTAAAGAGCTTCTGGGAAGGGGGAGGAAGGATACTTAAGATCTTGGAGTTCAGCAAGGTGTTCCTGCTGGAGTAATGTTATCTGCAACCCTGTACCAGCGCTGGCACATGCTGTGCCTTCAGGGAATTGCCATTTGGGGGTGAACAGGCAAACCAAGCACCAAGACATGAGGGAGAATCCAACCTCTCTCTTTTCCCCCTTCTTAAGACTTACATTTGTTGCTTATTGGATGGATTGTACTGCCTGAGCTACATGTGCTGGCTCTTATTTGAGTTACTCCCGCTCTAACAAAAGTGCAATGTGTCTTTAAATGATTAAAATTTAATATGAATGTTCAGACACAGCACAGCTGTAACAGGAGAGGTAAATGTGTTCAAAGCTTATTTTTTGCCTGGAATGGGTAACTCTCAAATTCTGCAGCTCCTGACCCATTTCCCCTCCTCCCAGGCTCAAATGACCACAGGGACCCACTGCCAGCTCAGGTGGTCAGGGCCCTTAGTCAGTGCCTATTTGTTTATGATTATACCCTCCACCTTGGGAATTCCTGCTGTTTCACAGGTGTCTTTGATGGTCTGCACCCCTCTGAGCCATGTCCTGCCACCAACTGTCCAACCGCTAAGTAGGAGGTGCTCCTTTTTTTCCTCAACAACCCGATAAACAGGTGTCTCAGTGTGGACGGAGGCGTCACTACCAACAGGATGCGAGTGAAGGCACTCGGAGGTAAGAGCCACCCCAGGGTGCTGTGGGATGAGCAGAATCTCAGGGGTGCTGTGGGATGAGCAGAATCTCAGGGAGGTTGTGCAATCCCAAAGATGCTGCCCAGGTGAGTGGGGCCCAGGGGTGCGGTGGGACCCCAGGGGGCCTTTGGGAGCCCGGGGGTGCGGTGGGACCCCAGGGGGCCTTTGGGGTGCGGGGGTGCGGTGGGATGCCGGAGATGCTGCGGGATGAGAGGGACCCTGAGGAGCCCGGGGGCGGTCGGGCCGTGGGTCGGGGCCCCCCCGGGGGTCGCTCCGGGCGGTGCGTGGGGCCGGCAGGAGTGGTCCCGGGCCGGACACCAGCCGGGAGCGGCGGGGGCTCTCCCGGCACCGGTGAGGGCTCTCCCGGCTCGGGTGAGGGCTCCTGGGGCGGCAACGGCCCCAACGGCCCCGGCCCGAGGCCGCGCTGAGGGCGCGGGGCCGCCGACCCTCGGAGCACCAGTGCCGGCGCTGCGGCCCCGGGCCATTCGCAAGTGAGATGCAGAGTCCCGGCGGGGCCCGGGTGGCTTTGAGTGTTTAATCGCGGCCAGGGCAGGGATGTGGGTGACGGGGGGAGGCGGCAGCCGCAGCCTCTGAAATGCCCCGACTGGCAGTGATGAACCCATAGATGGGCAAGGACCTCCATGCTCGGGGAAGAAGTGATTCGCTGTTAACTTTTTCTTAGTGCACTCATTGACCCTTTCTTTCAGAGCAGCTATTTTATTCAAGTTCCCCTCAAAAGCGAGGGGATTTGATAACCTCGTTCTCTGATACACCTTCTAAAATTATAAAGTAAGGATCAGGCATTCCTTTTCTCTCCTGAAACACTCATCTCTCTCAACTCCATCACTGCCAGTGGTAACTACACGGTGTATTCTTAATTTATGCTCAGGTGCTCCGACTTAGAAAGGAGCTGGAAATACCACTTCCCTCAGATGTCTGTCTTTGGGGACGAGTGGAAGAAACATGGAAGATTTCTTTTGCTCTAGGGGACATTGTGTTTGGCTGCTGGTCTGCCTGGCCCTGCTTGCTTGGTTTTAAACCCAGAAACTTAAATGCAATTTGTTCACCTCTAGAGTTTTCCTGACAGTTCAAGAGTTCGAATTCAGGTATGACCCCTATAGCACATTGGTCCCTACAGCCATCTTTGACTTGTGATGCAGACCAGGATGAACTGAACTGAGCCCAGACTGTTTCACACAGCCAGTGATTTCTCTTCTACTAATAAAAAATTAGGGTCTGTACTATTATTCTAATTTTGACCCATTTGTGGAAAAAAATTGAATTCACATTCTCCGTGTTAGGCAAAAATATTTTTTTTGTTTAGTTTTTCTTTTATTATTCTGAATGCCATTTGCAAATTAAGACTTAGCCCAAAACATGCAACCTTTGTTATTTATTTTCAGGATGCTATCTCTAGTATAGTATATGGACATTTGAAATGTTTGTAAAACTCCAAATGGAATGGAAATGCTGCAGCATTGAATAAAACCAGTATGAAAGCTGTGGTGACAGGAGGTGGTGGCTATTTTGGATACAAGCTGGGATGTGCTCTTGCCAGCGAAGGAGCTTCTGTTGTTCTCTATGACATGAACGAGCCTATTTGGGAAATTCCCAGTGGAGTGGCGTGTATCCAGGTATGATCAATTGTATTTTCCCAGCAGTCAAAATTAGTTTATTTGCCTTTTCCATAACATTTTACTAGTTTTCAGAGAATCCAAATAGCTAATTGCAAATTATTTCAAATTCCAATAACCTTTTTGACTGTGTGAACATCCCACAGGAATTTTGGTGAAGGGATTTTAGTATATCTGAAATAAGGAAAGCAGTGAAACCTGTAATGTGGAGCACAGAGCAGTTCTGCTCCTGCCTCCTCAGGACCCTGCCCTCACGTGTGCCTTAGTTTAATCCCCTGTGGAAAAAATACAGGAGTATTATGAAGCTTAATGAATGTCTTTAAAGCCCTTTGGGTTCTGTGAAAGAAAGGTATGATTGTCAGCAACCACTGGGGTGGGCCCAGGATGTACAGCCCATACAATTCTAAATATGCATTATATATATGGATTCCCTCTGTGCTAACCCACTGTATGACAAATGCTCACCTGAAGCTTTGATTTCAAGTCCAAATATGTTTTCTTATGTATTACAGGCAGACCTCAGGAATTACTGTGCCATACTTGCAGCCTGTGAAGAGGCTGATGTTGTGTTTCATGTAGCTTCATATGGAATGTCAGGAAAAGAGCAAGTGAGTCCAAACAGTTCTGGGTTTTTTTCTGGGTGACTGCCCACAATGAGAATGAGAGACTTGATGCTGTAGCACAGCATAGTATATTTTATCTACCATAGTAGATTGCTCTGTGCAAACTGGAGTGCCCCCTGCAAAAAGGCTGCTTGCAGAATGATTTCCTCTCCATCAGAGGCTCCACCAGCAGCCTGGGAGGGTGTTTGAGATGGAAATGGCATTGAAGAGTTCTGAAACAGCATAAAGACAAAAGGAAAGACAAGAGAGGCTGGTTCTCTCCAAACCCCTTATCCTTCCCTAAACCTTCACAAGGAATTCCTAGGTGTAAGGTCAATGCAAGGAATAAAAACTGCACTAAATTATAAATTATTTTATATATCTAAATTATAAGGACCACTGTATTTCAAGTCAAGGCAAAAAGCTGTAAGTTTTTATGATTAGAGTTACACACATCCCCCTTTCTTACCTTATTTAATAAAAGGAACTTCAGTAATTATCCTGTAATTACCCTGTCCGGATAGAACAGCTCACTCAGAGCTGTTTGCCACTGAGCAATGCATAATGGGAATTGCTCTGGGCAGAGGCCACTCATCACTGAAGTGCTAATGAAACACAGATATTTAACATTCTAATACCAGGACATGTTTCTTGGAAGCACTGTGATTCTCTTTGCTTCAAGCAGACTAGTCTGCAAAATACAAGAAAAATACAGGCATAGCTTAAAAATAATGATTTGACTACTTGAAGTCAGAAACAACAGTCTAAAAGATCTTTTTTATAATCAAAGCACTAAATTAATTACCTTTATTTGAGGACATTATAACATCCTCCATATTGAATTTGCTATGTATTCAAAAATGCACAATTTCTTTCTTTTCCTAGTGGCAGAAAGAACAGATTGAAAGCATAAACATCAATGGAACGAGATACATCATTGATGGTACGTATCTAACTGTGCCATTGGGTGTTAGTAGAGCACATCAAGTATCATATACCATTTAGAGAAAGCCAGCTGGTGTTTTTGGCACACACTATTTGTTACCAAATGCTTTACATTGTTGGCAGAAGATGAGGAAACGTGTCATTGCTTTTTATGCTCCATTCTGTGACAGGCTGTGATGTGTCAGACTGGGATGTGCAAGAGTGAAGCACTTGGTTCCACACTGATGCCTTCCCTTTAAATATGCTTTGCATTTCAACTCACCAGTCACAGAATGGAAGGATTTCCCCTTTTAAGATTTGACAGTTTCTCAGAATAAGGTTATACAAACTTTTTTTTTCCACATTGTTTCATTTTCCATAAAGTAATTGACTTTGTATGTTCCTGCAGCTTGCAAAGAGCACAACATCTCTCGGCTGATCTACACCAGTACAGTGAATGTGGTGTTTGGAGGGCTTCCCATTGAAGATGGGGATGAGGAATCTGTGCCATATTTTCCACTTGACAAGGTATTTTGTTTGTACATATTTTCAAGTTTCCTCTTCGTTTATTTTCTTGTTTCTGGAAAAGCCTGGGGCTTTTATGACAATGTTTTACCTGATGCCAGAATCCAGGCACAAGAAAGGCCAGGTTGGATGAGAGTTTGAGCAACTTGATCTAGTAGAAGGTGTCCCTGCCCATGGCAAGGGGGTTGGAATGAGGTGATCTCTGAGGTCCCTTCCAACCCAAACCATTCTGTGATTCAGTGAAAGAAGAAAGAAAACTACTTTTTGAAGATGCTGTTCACAGCCTTGACACATCACTTTTATGTACATTGCAGTATATATTTCTTTGTTTCCTATTAAGGCCTTGATTTTGGCAAATAACTCATACAGTGTCCCATTAACATCAAGGAAATTCCACCTGGACATAAGGACTGTGTTCTATGGCTTGGTGCCTCTCTAGCTATTTATTATCTACATGATTTTTCTGTTTCTCCCTTACTGGAGATGACATATATTCAATGTAGAGCTGATCCAGAAAAGCAGCCTATTTTTATGTGGTATTATTGCATTTAATTAAAAAGGAGAAAGTACTTCTGGGTGCTTTGCCTACACAGTTGTTTTTTGTGTCCCTCCTCTCTCCATCTAGTACTTCACAATCTTTCAAGAAGTAGAGATGGAGAGAAAATACTGACTCATATTTTTAATAATATTTCAAATCTTTTCTCTGGGACAGTGCCACACAAAAGTGAACAGGATACTTTAGAGGTAACCTCTTCAAAACTTGGCTTTTGACTTTTCTATTACCTGAAGAAGAAATCCAGATTACAAAGTAGTGATCAGTTACATTCCTGGCAGCATTCAAAGTATACACATATTTATTGCTTCTCAAATGTGCTGAAATTAATTAACCAGATTTGCATAAACAAAAATGCCTCCTTACAACATGCATGTGTTTTACCCTAAACCTAATACCCCAGGTATTAGGTATTTGTATTTTTGTATTTTGAGGTATTTGTTGCCATTTGCTAAGTAAAAGCTAATGGAGAAGAGATGCCCCTCTGCCCTGTCATTCCAAGAACAGATAAAAATGTATTTGCTTTTTCTCCGTAGCACGTTGATCATTATTCCAGAACCAAATCCATTGCAGAACAAATGGTACTGGCAGCTAATGGGACTCCACTAGCAGGTACTTTTGTCTGAGCATTAATTCATAGTAGAATTTACTCCTCCTCTTCTTGTTCCCCCCCAACATCCTGTCTCCTGTATCAATCCTTCCTTAATTATGAAATTAAGTTATCAACCCCCTCTCACAAACTAAAGTATTTTCACTTAAAAATTACTTTTAATTGTTTTTAAGTTCCTGCAATGTCCACAAAAGGTTTTAGCATGGTAGCAATGAGCTCAGTATGTTAATGGAAAATATTAAGACAGCTAAATTAAACAAAATGAATTGTTTATTGTCACTGTTTTATGCAACAGAAGTAAAACATGAATGCTGATTAAATTGTTACACTCTCCACGCACCCTCAAGTTATATATTAAAATCTGAAGTAGCCACCTGATACTACAGCCTGGAATTATTTATTAGTGCTTCCCAAAGTTTTCCATGTTGAGGAAGCCAGTTATACACTTGAGTACTTAAGCTCACCTGTGAGATACTATAACTGCCAGTGCAAAACAAATTAATGTAAAGTGCAACATGATTCTATGTGACCAAGTGATACTGAGCTAAATTTAGCTGTAGACAACTTACAGAAAAAGACTCACTTGATACTTGCAGAGGGCTATAAGAGATAGAAAGTCATTGATGGACATTTCATCCCAAGAGAGTTATTTTGTTTCAAAAAAATAAAGGTTTGGGGTTTTTTTCCTCATTTCTTTGGCAGCTCTTTGCATCAAAGCCCCTCTTAATTTTAGGACCAATACACAGTTCTGCATTTGTCACGGAAATTAGAACCACTCAGTGTTCCAAACATCCCATTTTGATCCTGTGCCATAGCAGGATTGAGTATTTTACATGTTTTCAGGTACTGTTAAGAGCAGTTATTAGCAGATGACTAACCAGCCAACCAATGTACTTGGGAAGTGATTGGATTTTATGATCCCACTGGAATTGTCAAGTGTCTCCATCAGCTCTAGTGGGAGCTGTGCCTGCTGTTGAGGGAACCTTTCAGCTCTACCTTGTACTGACAGGGAGTCACTGCTTCCCAGCAATAATTTTGGGTGAGCTCAGTTGGTTTCATTTCGCTTTCCAACATATTTTTGAATAACCTGCTCACTTCACCAACCTCATCACCACAGCTGGCACATTCATTCACTGCTCTGGCACAGAGACAAGGGACTGGTTAGAAAGAGTTTTTGAAATATCTAGTATTTTCTAGTAACACAACTATGCTGGCAGGACCTCTCTGAATATTACCTTGCTATTTCACATGTTCTGATTCTCCCAAATTAATATCTGACTACTAATGCAGCACC